CCTGTAGAGTTATAGGATGACATTGAGTGGATTGCTTCTGGGTGTTGGCTCTCTCTTTGGATTTCAAGTTTTGATGATTCATAGGACTGCTGTGGGAAGATCTATGTGAGCAAGAGTTCAAGAGGGCTGCTCCATCTCTGCTCTGCCCAAACTGATATGAACCTCATTCATAATGAATCTGGCCAGACCCATTTTTATATCTGCCTCTATACACAGACATCCCAGTGTGGATGCAAAGTCATATAAATAGTTTTTGGGAGATTATTTTCTGTTATTTTGTAATCTGCTACCAAGTCCTCAATTCCATGTTTTTTCTTTTTTTTTTTACAATAGGTTTTCAGTTGAAATATAATTCTTTCCCTTTCCCCTCTCCAGTCCCTCCCAGCAACCCTTCCTCCAAGCTTTCTCATATCCCCACACCACTCTTTAGTTGATAGCCTCCTTTTCATTGAAAATTATTGTTAAATGTATATCTAAAGATATGCATATTCACATATATATGTACACATGTCATATACACATACATACATACATATATGTACATATATATATCACATATGCATACACACATATATAAATGTAGCATACACACACATGACATTAGCACTCACAGCATTCCTTCTCTGTAGCTCCCAATGCTACTTTCTCTCTATCATCGATTGGAGGATTCTGAGACATGGCTTCAGTATTTCATTAGTCACACGGTATGAGATATATATGAAGTTCTCTTACCTGTGACAGGAAGGTACAAGGGGTCACTTGGGGTTGACCACAAATAGGAAGTGTTCCTGAAAGAGCCATAGCATCTATAGTACCCTGCCTGGACCACAGGACCAAGATGGAAGTTGGCTTGGAATGTTCCATTGTGGCTCTTCACTGAAGGCAGCCCTTGTTCCTTGGGGCTCCCTTCCCTGGACAGATGGAACATATCAAACTGAAGGTCAGAGACACAGGACAAGGTCATGTTCTCTCCTGGCATCACCACAGGACCCATTAGGGCTGACAGAAAAGGTTTCTTGTATAAACCTGGAAGAAAAGAGGAAGAGACAGTTAGTTACCAGTGTTCATTCACTCCTCAGTGTTCCCTCTGCCTGCGTCTATTTCTTTGATCTCTCTCTGCCTCTTACCATCTCCCTCTCTCTATTTCTCCCTTTCTTTTCTCCTCTCTTCCTCTCCTTCTCTCTCTTTATTTCTATGTTACCATCTTTAGTCTTTGACCTCACTCTGGACTCAAATATTTTTGCTTAATGATATTTTCTGCCTCTATTTGCATGGGTTCATTCCATCTGTCTTTTAAAGTTTGTTGTTATGATCATAATTAATTTTATCTAGCAATAACCTTCATAATGAAATATTCATATGCATGCATAATATATTTTTATGCTTGTTTTAAGTTTTGAAATTGAACTATATATCATTTAGTGTTTTAAAAATTATTGTTACATATATAATTATAGATGTATAATATTAACCATATTAAGGCTAGTATTCTTTATTGCCCTTCTACTTCCAATAATCACATTCATTTTAATAAATGGTATTCTTTATAGTTCGGTTTTTCCAGTTGTTTTGCAAGTCATTGGGCTCAATTAGATTTACTCATTATTTTGTTTTAATTAGCATACCAAGTAAGAGTCTTCATTATGACATCCTCATACAGCTCCTTTTGTTCATTTTCCTCCCTCTTCCCTTTCTTGTACAGCATTGCTGATCTAGTTACTCCCCTCGTTTCCTCCTCCATGTCATATGTCTTTCATTTATTTCCCACCCCTCTCTATTAAACTTTTCTTCTCATGGTCACTTGCTAATTTCATGACCTATAACTTTGTCATCCTATATATGATAAAAATCTAGAATTTAATATCATTCTATTTTTCTTTGTAGGTCTTG